GATATGTTTATCGTGGAGCATGGATTGGCGACGGATTCATCTTTACAACGAATAATGATAACGACCATAATAATAGCAATATAATTATAATTCGCCCATACCATTACTGCTGTTATTATTATTATTATTTATTAGTTATTACCTTCAGGTCCATGACGATCTGCTGGAACAATCCGCCGAGGGCATTACAATCTTTGCCGACCCCGTTACCTTCCATGGTGTGAGCGGTAATACACGCACACGCACACACACACTAACGGTCTCTCACACAATCTAACTCAAAAAACACAAACACACGCAGCACACACGTTCAATAACGATAAACTGTAATATATTATTACAATTTTATGTATCCCGTTTGGACAAGTCTCTTCTATTCGCGGTCGAAAACCACCACTACGATAACCCGGTGGACGCGATCGTCGATCATCGCGTGCGAGTGCCTATAGTCGTGTTCTCGTCACTGAAAAAAAATTCAAAAACCTAATAGGAAGGTACCACGGGCACCACGAACGATTTTCTCGTTTTCTTTCTTACTTTCCGTCCGGGTGGAAAAAAATAACAAGTCGAAATTAAACCGTTTTCACTTCTTTTATCTTGAAAATGTGTACGAAAGGCGCACGACGAAAATCCACGCACAACCGACGCCAACGAACACTGAGGACGGAATCGACATCGCGGTCGCCGCCGCCGTGCTGTACTTGTGTTGGTGTTTGTGCGTGTGTTTCTGTGCATGTGTGTGTTTGCGTGCGCGCGCCTGTGAATGTGTATAAACAAAACGGCACCGCACCACAGTCCATAGAACAGGGTCGATCAACTCGCACGCCATCTACTTGGAAGCGGTACGCCCCCCGCCCCCACCTAAACGGCAATGTCGACCATCATCGTCACACTGTACTAGACTCGTAAAACTGTTGTTCGCAAAATCTCAGTACTCGGTAGTCACATCATCACTTATTCTCTGGGCGACTGGACCCTTATAGTCTTATTAGTTATTGAGTTAAATGAGTTTTGATTTTCTCGTTTCTCACTACAGTGGATTAATATTAAATAATAATAATAATATTAACTCGCAGAATGGTTTGTTTTCCATGTACTGGACATGCATACTATAAACAGAACAATCGTACATATTTTCATTTTTTACCCGTACAGCTGTTATTGGGCTATATGCCTATATATCAGTGTAAACTGTAAATATTAAATACCCAGTGTAAAATATGTGCAAGACTTTACTACTTTAGAGTTTAGACTATACTAAAAACTAATAAGTCGATTTTCATGATCGATATCATGATAATAATATTATATAAAATATATACCTAGGCTCTACGAATCATTATGATGAACGATTTTAGGGAAACCGTTTTATTTTTTACTGTTTCTGTTACAAGAAACAATAATCATGTTTTCGTGCACCTTCCCACACTCACACACTTGTATTTTATTTAATATTTATTTTTTTAAAGTTTTATTATCATACGAATACCGAATATATAGTGAGTGTCGACTGTCGACTATAATAATTATAGTGACATACCGTGTACAACGTACAAGTAACATTGTAACAAGTATAATATTATGAGTTGTCCTCATATTTATTACTTTGTTCCGACTACGAGTTCCATATCCAAATTATTTTCGAAATATTATAGATTTCACTTCTTGTCTTCTAATATAATACTATAATTGTAGGTACTATTATAATTTATAAATTAAAAAAAAATTATATTATTTCAAACACTCGGGCAGCGACTGCCTTAGGATATCTTGTCTCCAAAACTCCCTAAGTCCCAACAGGCAACAGACCAACCATAGACAATAGTGCACTTATCGTAACAGTTTTATTATAAATTATAATTATTAATTAATAATTAGTGTTTATTTCATAGATAATATATTATTATTATTTATGGTTTGTTATTGTTATTATTATTATTTTGAGCTGTAAGTGATAAATGATAATGAATGATAAGAAATAATAATATTAAATTTATTCTGTGATAATATCAAAACAAACATTTAAATTATTAAGAACTATGGTCTATACTATTAAATAAACAATCGACGTTTTTTTACACAGAAACCGAATACTGGTGCTAGAAATAAGAGATAGATCGTTTCAATACATATCTACGTTTCAATGTCCATACTTGAGGTAGGGCTATAGAAGGTCATTTTTAGGTCTTCTAGGAATGTCAAATTCTGCAGACCGTGACCAATGGTGTTGTCACTACAACAATTGCTGTGGATTTTGGAGAAAGTGAACAGTGTCCTTAGCACAGTTGTCCTGAACTAGTCATGTCATTTTTACGTGGATCCACAAATTATGTTTGGTGTACTACAAGTGTGCTTGGAAAAGGTGCAACTGGTGCGGTCTACCAAGGTGTCAATAAACACAACGGTGAACCAGTGGCTGTCAAAACTTTTAATCAATTAAGTCACATGCGGCCTTTCGATGTCCAAATGCGCGAGTTTGAGGTGCTAGAGAAGGTTAAACATGAAAACATAGTAAAGCTGTTAGCCATTGAAGAAGAACATGAAAGTCGTGGAAAAGTTAGTGATTGCTTTTCATATTTTGATGTTATATTAAATTACTAAAGTTTATTTTGTTATAGGTCATTGTTATGGAACTATGTACAGGAGGGAGTTTATTTACAATACTAGATGATCCAGAAAACACATATGGCTTACAGGAAGATGAGTTTCTATTAGTCTTAGAACATCTTACAGCCGGTATGAAACATTTACGTGACAATAATTTGGTACACAGAGATTTGAAGCCTGGTAATATCATGAAGTTTCTGAGTGATGATGGTTTGCCTATTTATAAATTAACTGATTTTGGAGCTGCAAGGGAATTACGTGAAGATCAAGAGTTCATGTCGTTGTATGGAACTGAGGAATATCTCCATCCACATATGTATGGAATTCAACATATTTTGTGTTTATTTTAAGTTGTTTGCTAAAGTTTATATATTTTTTTCAGGTATGAGAGGGCTGTTTTACGGAAACCAGTTGCAAAGACATTTGGAGCTACTGTTGATTTATGGTCGATTGGTGTTACATTGTACCATGTAGCTACTGGGAATTTACCATTTAGACCATATGGCGGGCGACGAAACAAAGAGACTATGCATTATATAACAACTGAGAAGGCATCTGGTGTTTTATCAGGAGTGCAAACATCTGAAAAAGGTTCAATAACATGGAGTAGAGATTTACCAAAGAACTGCCAATTAAGTGACGGCTGTAAAAAGCTTATTACACCGATTTTAGCCGGTCTCTTAGAATTAGAATCTCAACGAATATGGAGTTTTGAAAAGTTCTTTGCTGAAGTTACTAAAACATTAGATAGAAGGCTACTGCATATTTTTCATACCAATCGTGTTCAAAATATACGTGTATATTTGCATCCTGATGAAACATATGAAAGACTTCAGTGTTTAATTCAAGATCAAACTGAAATATCTCCTGCTAATCAAATACTTTTATACAAATCTACATACCTTCTAACTGAAGTAGGATTAGATCTTCCTGGTAGGTCTTATAAGCCAACTGAAATGCATAAGCCTATTTTGCTGTTTAGTAAAGAAAACAATAATGTTACTTTGGTAGCTGACGGTGAAGTACCCAATTTCCCAAAATTTCCAGATATGTCTCTACCAAAACTAACATCTGTAGACAGTGATGCAGGACTTGCTAAAACTGCATGTAGTGTAGGACACGTTTGTAAAAAGCGTGTTGAAAAATTGTCACAAAACAGTCAACTAATTAATAAATGTGTACAAGTATTTACAAAAATTGTAACGGAAAAACTGAAATCTGTATTGAGTAAGAGTGACCATTTACAAAGTGTGTTTAAAAGTACAAAATATCTTGTAGAGATTTCTGTACGAGGACACAAAAGTGTTAATAACATGATTGGCATCAAGAATATATCTACTGAATTGAAAGATGAGTTAGAAAAATTAAGTGATGAGTTAAACAATAGCTTAAGTTTGGCAATACAACAGTTACATCAGCGGTACGTCAAAGAAAGGACATTAACTAGAGAATGGCAATCAGCAACTAGATCATTTAAATGTCCAAATAAAAATAGAGCTCCCGCAAGAATAAAAACGCTAGTGGAAAGATTAAGGGATTCATGGCAACATTTGCTAAGAGATCGTGCTACACGTAGTCTAACATATAATGATGAACAATTCCACGTGTTAGAAATAATTAAGGTATGTTATGGTAATTATAAAATAGGAATTTAAGGATTAAGATTTTAAGTTACTTGATTTTCTTTCTTAAATAGTTAATTGACTCAATTTTAAAATAGATATCCGTAATTGTAATTGTACTAAGTTTATTTGATTTAAAAAAAATCATTTAGGTATTCATTTTGTTATATGATTTTCTAGATCACAGAGACGAGTCGTAGAGCTCGGACATTGCTAGATACAGATGTACAGCCTGTAGTCATGCAGTTGGCTGATTGTATGGCAGATTGGTACAAAATGGCACAGACTGTCTACCTGCAGGCACAAATTTTGGACAAGGATTTTGATACATTTGAGCACCGTCTGCTTGGATTCATTGAGCGTGCAAATGACACAGACGCATCATTTCATGATGGTCTCGTAAATGTTGCTAAAGTAAAATTTACATCCAGTGGTGCCAAACATGCTGGTCGTATTAGTGCTCAAGATATTCAAGCATTGAGGGCCAGTTTACGAGGTCTACGTGATATTGATGACCTTGTATCTGATATTAAGGGAAAAAATGAAATGCTCAAACATATAACTGAGCCTAGTAAATTATGCGACTGACTTATTGTTTTTGAATACTAAGTATATTGTAAATAACTTATTTATACAATGTTTTTAAATTTGTATTAAATAATATTTTTGTATAATCCAATTAATAAAATCATAATTGATAATATTGAAAATAGCTAATATATTCTATCTTCATGTATATAATAATAATAAAAAAAAATTAAATTAAATAAATCACATTCCACGTCTCACAGGCTTAGGGTGCACTTTAAGTTTGACTGGTTTGCATAAATCAACAATACATGGCTGTGTTGGAGGTAAGACATGTGCCAGAGCTCCTTCCGTTTCGGTCAGATCAAATGCTAAGCTCAGCTCAACAAAACATGCTTCTGACCATTCAGAACGGTGTGATATCAATGCATTTGTATCAAGTAAATAATATGATTCTAAAAAAAAAAAAAAACCATTTAATATAATATTAAAATGAATACTACTACAGGAAGTGACATACCCAGGAATTCGTTTATTTATTTAGAGCAAGTTATTAACATTTTAAAATTGTAAATTTCAATAATAATTATACTATGTAATTTTTTTATTAGACTAAATGTTGATAGTATGAACACATTTATAAAATCAGATAAGATTTTACATCAAGTCATGATAAGTATACTTGTTTTGTCGAATAAAAATTCATACTTAATGTAATTTAATTTTTAAGATTATTAATTGTAATTACAATAGGTGGAGTATACAATATAAATTCTATTGAATTTCACTTACCATTACTCAGATTTACCAGACGCAAATGATTTCTTGGTGGCATGATTAAATGCGTTTGTTGATCAGGATATTTAATTTTTAAACGCAATAAAGATAATGAATCTGTTTGTAAACTATATAACTCTGCATTTAATGGGATAGGAAGGATTAAACCTGCTGATAACTTATGGGTAGTATCTGGTCCACCCTGTGGACGATTAATAACAACCTTACACATTTTGATCTAAAATAAAATAAAATAAATTTTAAATGTATATTATCAGATAATTTAATATGTATAGGTTCTCACGTTAGTGTTTGGTTTTGGTGGTGGAGTAGGTTCAGAGCTTTGTAATATGGGTAAAAGTAATTTAGCCACAATTCCTGGTTTTGATTCTTCTAATTGAGATAATTCTTTAAAGACCACAGAAGTGAATGCCTCAAGTTGTAGATCATGTTCACTAATATATCTAAAGATATATTAAAATATTTTAAATGCATGTAAAAATTCACACAAAATTTTGATGTTTCAAATATAGTATTATATTTTTCACAAAATTAAGTTATTCATAAAGATAAGTTATTACTAGTGATTGGATTTTAAAGCACAATTAATAACAAAAAACGCATTTTTAATTTTCAAAAAAGCAAGAAAAAGCATGACCAAAAATTAGTTTAAACTAGGTAAAATTTTGAATAATGAATTTAAATTTAAATTTTAAAAAAAGTAACTGTATTTTGCTAGATTTGCAACTGAAACAATAATAATCTAATAACCATTTAGCACGTTTCCAGTGTTTTCCATTTCTAATAAATTAAATTAAAACTTTAGCATAATTACTATAGCATAATAAACATATTAAAATGTCACAGCTGGAATAATTGCAAAAAAAGCAAAAATTAAATGGTTTATTTTGTATCAGAATGACATGGAACAAATTTATGTATAAAAATTACATTTTCATCTTAAATATGAAAAAAAGAAGCATATGTTTTAAAATCCGACTAGTTATTACCCATCAGTGATCTTGACAACAAAGACAATTTATCATTTTTTTTTTTAACAATTGCATTAAAGTAATATAAATTATAAATAACTAGAATTATTTTATAATCTTATAATCCTATAAACTAAAAATATTTATTAATTATAAATAACTAGAATTTATATTTTTTATAAAATGATTTTTTGCATAAAAAACATATATTATGTAATAATGTTGAATTTTAGAATAATAACAACTATTTGGATATTTTTTTCCTCAAGTCAACATCTCACCCATAAAATAATGTATACATGTACATATGTACCAATCGCCTTTTTTTGCCGGAAATTTTCGAATTATACATATATTATTATTTATAACCTACTCATACACAAGGCTATAAGATTTTACTGCAACGCATAATTATGTATGTAGTCTGTGCAAGTGTGGCCTGACGGTTAACCGAGAAAAACGGATAATCTGGGTTCTACTGTACTACCAATGAGTTTGTCTACTCTCTCATGTCTTCATGTATATTTGTATTTTTTTTTATTTGTCATTCATATAATTGAATTATTGTTATACTATTAGTATAGAATTTCAATATTCCTTAAAATAAAATAAAAAATAATTTTATTATCTACTTACTTAATTGTGTCTTCTAACTGAGTTAAAAAATAATGACTTAGTGCTCTGGCTGATTGGTTTGTAGCATTTACAATATATACAAGGAGGAGTGCTATAACCTTTAATTTGAATTGTTTTATGCTAGCTAATTCTTGAACACTCAAGCCAACAAATAAGTACTGCATTCTAAAACATCAAACGATTAAACATATTGATAAGATTAATTAATTTAGATTTACATACTTTAAAGTATTCTGTAACAACTGTGAAATATTTGTGCGCACATTATTTGCTTGATGAGTAGAAACAGCATTCGAATAAAATGTTTTATTATTATTGTTCAACACTTTATTCAATAACAGTTGACTATGCATATATAATGCACTAAGCTCTGCTGTACCATTGACAGACTGATCAAGTTGAGCCAGTCTTATAAGATTATGATAGAAGGTTTCCAGCAAACTAATTTTAACTTTTGTGCTACCTTTGACTACAGATACTTGATTGATTAGTGATTCGAGAAGTTCAAGAGATTTAGGCGAGTCTGACTCGGTTGATCTTAACTCAACTTGGCTTATTGATAAACGTCCACCTAGCTAAAAATATAATATAAACATATATTTTAAAATTTTTGTTACTTATTAGAAGATTAACTAAACATTTAATAAAACCATGATGCTTCCAAATATTCATTTTAGTTTTTAAGCATATTACTCTATTTTTTAATAGTTTAATGATATGTAAGTCCCAACACGTGTATTGTATACCATTAATGGTATGTACTAAAAATAGAAGATGTCTATGTATTAGTGTCTAGTGATGTTTGTATATTAATATTATTTTGTCTACGGCTTAGCCATTGTGGAATTTAGAATTTATGGACATTTAATTGGAAAACATGGTTATTGTACTATCACTTAAATTAGTTTTGTATATTAATTAATAATCTATAGTATTATAACATTGTAAACAAAAATTTACTAAAATATTTTTTTATACTTTTTCTGTTTAGTGAAGTAAATCAAATATAATAATATTGAATGTTTTAATAGTATTATATAAATATCATAATATTAAAGTAAAAATAAGAATTGTACATACATTAAAGAATTAGGTTTACATAGTCTAATATATAAATTTTGATACTCTGGATTTAGTAATACTCAAATTGACAAGCAGTAAAAAATAAAAGTTTTACATAAAAAGGAACCATTGAAACTATTCGTATTTCGTAGTAAAGAAACCAAATTTAAGCTTGATAAATAGGACAACATTTTCAGTGTCACATTTTTATTTTGTTGATATTATTAATGAAGAAAAAAAAAATGCTAAGACAGAAAATATTGTTTTCTGTATTATGAATAAATTTGGTTTCTAATTATAAATGGTAACCTGAATGGTTATTTTTCACAAAATATGTATAGATATGTACTGTTCTTTTAACAGTTACTAAAGAAATTAAATCATAGTTATTAAAATTTCAAATATTTTCTTACTTGCAAAGATGGAACTAAATGAGGCATAATATCTCTTAAGTAGCTATAGTGTTTAATGGTTTTATCCTCTAGTAAAGATATAATAGAATTACACTTGGATGCCGCATTGAATACTAAAATCAATACACTAACATCTATTTTATGAGTCAAAGAAAAATTATATTATTTGTTTGATCAATATAAAAAAAATCTAAAGCATTAAATGACATAATGGCGTATAAATATTTAAGGATACACGATGGTTCTTCAACATTAGGTTCAGGTGTTTCAAACATAGGATGAATGGCCAATAATTCAGGTACTAATGCCAATGTTAATGTTGGATGTCTAAGACCCAAATTTTTCATACAATTCCATATAGATTTTTTATCCTTAAAAAAATATACATTAATGAAGACAAATACTTATTATTACCAAAACTTTTATTTACCTCTGGATATTTTTTTAAACTTTCAATTAATCTGTTAGTGCACATCATTAATCCTTCTTGATTTAATAGTTCAAACGATGCAAATATATTATGTAAGCCTTCACGCACAACACTCGATGAGTCCTAGACATTTATAAGATTATAAAAATATAAAATTAAACAAAAATAAAGTATTTATACTTCAATCACTGCTAAAATAATCTCCACTTGATCATCACGGAGTCCAGATGCATATGAAAGTTTAACAAGACTTTCAATAGCTATTAAGCGTACTTCTTCAATTTCGTCATTAAACATATCTACTAAAAACTCCATTGCAATTACTGCAAATTCTGAATGTCTAGTTGCCAATGAACACATGGAACTTATTGTGGCTATACGTACCTCTGAATTTAAAAACTTGAAATATTATTAACAAATTTTTATTTTATTTTTAAATAATATACTATTACCAAGAAATTCATCTTCCAAGCCATGAAGATAAGCGCCACTAGCACCTGTGCTAACTAAACTAACTTGCTGTGCATCCAGCATCTCTTGAGGAGTATCTTTAGTGCTTAATGCACTCATCATAGCTGTACCCTTTGCTAAACATTCCCAAACACGTTCAATAGAAGTTCGTTTTCTCTATAAAATGTAGTCACCATTGATTACATATTTAAATTATAAATATATTTGAAAAACAAGTATTTACGCGCAAATTAGACATTAATGTTTGATCCAATGTTTTCAACAAAACATTTGTACTGACAGACAGAAAAGATCCAAGAAGCTTTGCAGCTTGAGTACGAATACGGTAACTTATATCAGTCATAAAATTACATATATTTTCAAATGCTTCATCAGACATTCGAGCCATTTCTTCACCATTACTACCTTTGATTCTTCTATTAAAAAAAATAATTAGTTTATACATTCAATAACTATATATTTTGAGTTACTTACTCTTCAGGATAATAATTTCCTAAAACTGAAATGACATTTAAAGCGGCTTCTCTCACCATTTCATTATCATCATTTATAACTGAACATACATCTAGATACACAGCAGGGTTTAACCTTATACCTCGGTCATGTAATCGAACCTAAGTATGATAATATTAAATTATTATGTGAAAAGAAAAAAATATTTTAAACCATAAAGCGGTCTTGAGAAATCATAAAATCAATTTATCACAATTTATGTAAGGGAAAAGAAACTCAAATTAATCTTTTAACAAATTTGTTATGACGTATCATATTGGAATATCGTTGTTGAGACACTGAATAATGTTTAAAAATGTAAAAACTTATTTATCAAAGTATGACTAGCATAAACTTATGAAGTAATACTTGGGAGACGCTAACAAAAAACAAATAGTTTAATCATAAAGCTAACCAAGTAGTAGGAGACTTGATAAAAAGGTACATGATGCCAATTAGCGTCATTCGGCATATAAAAAAAATAAAAAAAAATGAGGTCATTCAGTGTCATTCACAGTGGATGTGTTGAATTTTATGTAATTAAAATATACTTGGGATAATTTTTTTTTCTGATGGGCACAATTTAGAATTTGTATTTTACATCTTAATGTATTTTTTATATGCTAATTGTTACAGAAAAATGTAAAGTAGTTGAAGAAGGAGATATTAAAGATATTCAAATACAAAAATATGAATACCAAATGCATTATTAAACCTTTGATTATTACCATTGTATTAAAAGCATTACTCCTTGTTTTTGCATTGTAATGTTGTGTATAACTTCCAATTAATTTAAGCATTTCAGAATGAATTTCCAAAGAATCTTGTGGAATTTTCACTGGCATCAATTCGCCTATCACCTCTAAACTCTCACATGTTATGTTTGGTCTATAATCTCCCAATGTCTATAAAAAGTATAAATACATATTTTTATTTCATAATCTTTAATAATTAATAACTATGAAATAAAATTGTACTTTTTTAGCATAATTAGTGAGTTTCAAATGAAGAGCCATATCATGGTTCATACGTTTTCCAAGTGCCAATAGTGTTTTGAGACCACTAGTTTTGATCTTCTGTGATTTAACTTCTTTCATTAAAATAAATATTTCTTCAACAATTTTGTACACGTTCTAAAACAAAAAAATCTTTTACACTTAAATATATATTTTTTAAACTACAATAGTAAATTAACGTACATCTTCACTAGTTTCGTCAGAAGACCCAATAGCTGATAAAACAGAAAATATTAAAATCTTGACCGTAGAATCTGATTGAAGTTTGAAATGTTCACTGAGTTTAGTTAAGATGTTAGAGATATCTGAATCCTAAAAATAAATTATACTTACATAAACTATAAAATACTTTAATAGGTATAATAAATAAATAAAATAAACTATACTCTCTCATTATAAAAATTACCTCTGGTGGCTGGCTTCAGTCACTACATTTCTAATATTTAAAAGTAGATAGACACAAAATATTATATTCTATGTGTCACTACCTAGTTACATTTAAAATGTAACAATTGTTACAAATGTTATAATTGTTTACCTGAAATTGAAGTTGTTCTAATATTTGCAGCAAAATTTGCACTATCTCATTTGGTGTTTTACGACCACTAATTGTGTTTATTAATGATAGGGTAGCACCAGTTGTTAGAGCTGACAATTTCACTAGACATTTCAATTTTTTTACTGGTGGTTGTTGCTCCAACTATGAAAAACAAAATGTTTGGAAATGTTGATGGATGTCATGTAATAACACTATGAACTATTAATAGTAATATTGCTTACCACTTGAGTACTATACTCAGCTAGTGCTCTTTTTTTTAAAACTGCCGCCATGATATTATGAATGTAATAAATAATTATATTATATTATGAATGCATTAACTATTTAACTATAAAGACATCAGCTTTTTTTACATAAAACTAACTCACTGTCCAGTGTCCACTGATCAGTGATCTCTATTCACTATCAGTCATCAGCTATATCTAAGTCCGTGTTTTTGTGCTTTTTTTAATTTTTTATAATGCCATAATGATAACGATAAACATATTATCATTCGAATACAGAAAATTCAGGTTTTTACCACTTACCACTGACTTACCATTTTATTAAATTGAAATGTATAGAGAAAATTGAATTTTTATATTTTAATATGTGAAAAATAATTGTCTGTAATTTGTTATTAATTCGTTAAGTGAGTAGTTTTAATTAATCCTTCAATAAATCGTGAGCTGAGTTTAAGACTTCTTTGAAAAAATTAAAAGAAATTCAAAATGGCCGAATGTTGATATTTCAGTAATCCATACATATATATATAAGTATGCCTGCTGGAATAATATTTGTGTGTAGTGTGTGTGACTGTGTGTGTATTGGTTTGTGTTGATGTGCGTGTGGGTACTTTTCCTCCCTCGACCCTCTCTGTAATTGGTATCTGTTATTCTGTTAGTCTATCTCTCTTTCATCTTTGATTCTATGAATCTTTCGTTTCTCTTCTATTATTATTGTTTTTTTTAGATACAGTAAATCAATTGTATGGTACTTTGAAAAATTATTTCAATACGTATTTGTGTGAAAATAACTAGCATTCTATAAATTTCATAGTGCGAACGGTATGCGATATAGTGTCGTGTGTAGTAAGTGTTTAGTGGTTTCATAAATGACAACGCTAACTCATTCGTTGCCTGGTAAGAAATGTGGCCAAATAATAGTAATTTAAATTATATTTGCCGATAAATCTATCAACTTAATGAGCGATTGAGCGTTTAAAATTGGCCCCAAACCATCCCCTGTAAATAACCCATTCAAAATATAAAAAAAAATCAATATTATTAGTGATATTTTATTAACTGTATTCAACTTTTTATTTATGTAGTATACATAGTATTTTTATTATTCTGTTCCAGGCACAGACTTGAGCAAAGTCATACAAAAACGAAGTGCTGGCTCTATAGGGTAAGAATTAAATGTTTTCATTTTTAAGTTTCTCTGAACTGTAATCTTAATTGCTTCGTAAAAATTAGTAGCATACCTACCATTAATTACATAAATATCATACTCTATATTAGGCATATACAATTTTATTGAACTTGTAAGTGCATTCATTTGTTGAAATATTTTTAAATTAAATAAATACCTATGAAAATAAAAAAAAACTCAAGTTTAGAACAGTATGTTTCTGTTTAAATAACAGATTCCTAAATATACAATTGGTTTTATTGTAAAAATTTAATTTTTGAACTTATAGAAGAGCCACAACTAGGACCATACTTTTTTTCTCCCATAGGTAGGTGTACTCTCTACTAAGTTTGTATATTATTTGTAATTGGATTATTATAATTGTAAATTTACATAAATATATAGGTACATATATTAGTCAATACATTACAATTTTGTTTGAATACAAATTGTCCATCTTTTAAATTATCTACTTCCAACACATCTATAGTTATTCCTTAATAAATTAGCAATATCTCTTTCAATATTAATAATAGCCAAATTTGAAAAATAATCTTGCAGCATGCTCTCTTTTAGAAATTTTTTTCTTATTGATGAAAGCATTTTTGTAATTATTATTATCCAATATAATTTATAATTGGGGAAGGTTTAGTCCGTACCTACTTCTCACCAGAGTAGTTACTATCCGAAATGTTGGTGACAGACAGAAAAAAAATACATTACATCATTATAAAGCCAATACATTTTTCGTTCCTCTCAGAATCTAAAATGTCCTTAAAAAAGGAATTATGTACCTATATATTATTTTCCTAGTAATGTGATAAATATTATAAATAAATCAAAGTCTCGAATTTCCTTGAAGTGCTTTATAAGCTACAAGCGTATTGTCATTATTTTAAATATAAATTCTAAAAAACGAAGAGTTCTTCTGCTGCAAAAACTGTTTAAATACAATGAATTAAATATAAATATAAATAAATCATTGTAGATATAAATATATATATAAATAATATTGTGCGAAAAAGACTGTCAATTTGAACTTTAAACGATTATCAAATAAAATTGTGTGCATGTCTTTTCGACATTTTTAAATTACTGTTAGAACAACTTTGTACCTATCATATTTCCTAACCTAAGATATTTAAATTGAAAATTAAATAAAAATAATATATAATTATAATCATTTCTAAATTTTTTTTGAATATGGATAATTAGACTGATTAAACAAAAAAAAAACTAAATCATTTTGTAACATTATGATATTTGGTACTTTTCTGTTATCCCTACTACCGCGAGTCTCAATTCTGTTATCTCGACCACCTCGCCGATGCCGATTTAGATAAAATCAATAATAAATCATAAACATGGATGTATAAATATAAAAATACCTCATCGATACAGTTCATAATATTTTAATCGTACATAGACCTTTTTTATCATAATAACTTTTTATGAGCGTTTGAATATATAATTTTTATGATATTGTATATTTAGTAGTAATTTATCAAATTCAACAAGACATTAAAGCACTAATCAGCAGGGGCGTAATTTGGGGGTGGGCAGGGTGTGCGACGGCACCACTAACATAATGGAATAAATGATTGTCCCTCCATTAATGCTCCTATGCACCGATATGATTACTATTAAAAATGAATAAAATATTCTTGGACAAGTTGCGCTGAAGTCCAAAATTTTAACTTTGACATTAGACACCTCCACATAACATTTTCACACCCACCTATTTATTATTATAATTACCTATCACCATACACCAAGTAAATATATATTTTGGCGCCACTGATTCATGCATGCAATTTAAATTAATTTTATTCATCAGCTTTATTATCAAATTATCCCTATTTGATAACTGTGTCTTATTATGTAAGACAGTTCGTGTCAGCCTGCTGGATAATTTATGTGATAACTGATAATAAACGTTATACTAATATACATTATTATATAAATGGCAATTCATGTGTATTATGTATTAAAATATGTAACTATCGGGATAGTTCTTACTATAGTAGTCGAGTTAACAGAATTGAGTAGTCGTGGTAGTCGCGGCATTGAGCGCGGTAGTGGAATAACAGAAAAGTACATAATATTTGAATACATTTTATTTTATTTTAACTAAGTTGTTAGATATCAACATACCTACTCCAAAGAATATTCTACACTGGAATATGAAATTACTAATTATGCAACTGTAAAAATCTTAAAAAACGATAAGTATATCAATTAAAATATAGTGAATAGTATAAATGTTTAATGCTGTTTTAGTGGTATACACGATTATTAAACATTTAGTACTTTTTTCTATGTTATATGTAGATACAATTGATTCATTTTTGAAACATTTAAATTGTTATTATACTTAAATTTTATTTTAAGTTTACTTTATTTCATTTTATACATTATAAATGCAATCATTAATTGTTGAGCTATAAATAATAGTTTATACTAATACTTATTAAAAAAATGTTATTTTAATAAAGTTAGATAACATTACAAACAAATTTATTGACATTTCATCAAAATTAATTAAACATTAAATTATTTTTAACAGTAATTAACAAACAACAGTTCTGGAACAAATAACTTTTTATTGTATAGACTTATGAAAATACAAAATCTTTTTATAAGAGTTATTGCACATTTTTAACTAATGTTAATTGAGTATACGGTATAAACTAATAATAGTTCTATCAGACTAGTTATTGAATGTCTACATGTCACTTCATCATCATCAATGAATATAATTATGCCTTATGATTGTTGATTGAAATTTGAGTTAGTTATTCACGAGATTATTCATAATATGTCATTACTAGATGAATAACCCAGCGTTGCCTGGGAAAAAATTTTGATTGGTTAACTCCTTTTGGGTATAATTTGTTGTGCATATAGATGGAAAATCATATTAAATTTTAATTTTTAGCCATCCCGTGAGACTCGCTTATGGTTATGTGAACAGTATATTATCAGGTAGATCTGTGGTAGATTGCGGACATAGCTAGGTGGGTGACAAAATAAAACTATATTACTATATTAGTATATCTTTGTAATTGAAAAAATGTTTATACAGTATACCTAAAATAGTATTGAAGTCATAGTTGATCATGCCAAATGTTTAGAAGCATTTAATATAATATTAATATAGTTTGGGGGTTATTTAATTTTAATTTATTTAATTTTATTTTTACCGACAAATCGGCATTATTATACCTACTTTGTGAAATAATTTGTATAATATATAACCTGCAACCAAAGGCAACCATTAATAAACAAAAAAAAGTTTCAATTTCCACCGTGAATCTTAAGATCCCTGTTTGACCACCTTTTTAAAATGTGAACATCAGAAAATCCTTTTTATTGCACATCTAGATCATTAAAGGAAACACTATTCCAAATATCAAGTACATATACATTTTGTATCTTAAAACTAATATTGTATATTTAAATTAGATATTGCTTGATAGATGGCTCCACTGTTGTATTTTGACAACCCCTTATTTTCCCCTCTAGGGGTTGAATATCCAAAAATCCTTTCTTAGCGGACGCCTACACCATAATAGATATCTGTATGCCAAATTTCAGTCCGACCCGTCCAATGGTTTGAGCTGTGCGTTGATAGATAAGTGAGTCAGCTTACTGTTTTATATATACAGATAATAAATATTAAATGAAACAATTATTAAATGTTATATTAAATATACAAGAATACAAGATATTCTATGTAAACATGAATCAAGTTCATGAAGGACATTACCCTACCAACTATATACCTCAACAATCAATAGACATCTGCCTGATTGGTATTAATATTTTAAAACATAAAATAAGAAAATGTTTTTCACATAGGTTGTGAGTTGTAACTTATATAATTTTAAGTTAATTTAGGATAGTGTTATTAATTTATTAGTTAAATTTGAATTTGTTGAATAAAATTATTTACAGAATTTGAATCATAAATATTCCAAATTTATAAAAAATATCATGATACCCATTTGTTTAAAATAAAATAATTTTTAACTATAATAATAAATTCAATAAAATATGAAATTATTAATATTTTAAACTTCATGTAGTTTTGATTTTATAAAAATAATTATTTCATATTGATGTTACATTCAGAAGAAACTCCAAAGATTGGAAAATGCCAGTCATCTATTTAAAATCAAAACGTAGCCTAAGGTTCTATAGAGCAATTACCTTCCTACCTACCAATTGTTATAATTGACATCACTACAGTTATTGCCTTCTCTTAGTTTCAATTTTGTTTCTGGTTAACAAACCCTATTATTACATGTGCAGTTCATAGTTGTTCACCATCATTCATTTTTTTTTTTTTTGTTGATTATATATTCAAAAAACGAATTTACATTCTTCATTATAAGAAGAGTATATTAAAGTATATATATTTAAGAATCATTGTAAAATGGCAATTGACATTATTTAATTTTGTATAGGTACTCAACTATATTATTACTTTATGTATAATGTATATTCTTAGGGGGGAAGTAGGTAACCACTATACTGAACAGTAGGTCTCAAATATAACTCGTTATTGAGCAAGTATAATGTACGGTAATGTATGGGTTCAATTTGAATCCAATGATACATTATTGCATATGAATAATGGTTTTGAAATGATGATTCGTTAGCTTATTTTATTTTTAAGTATATTTTATGATATATTTATATTGCTAATAAAATTATTTATTTTTAGTAATTTGGTTTTTGAAAAGGCATTGTGTGTTGGAAATATATATACGTTAACATTTTCAATTATGTTCCCACAAATAATATTTCCTAATTGCAACATTATAACTTAAATTGTTATTCCACTTATTAAATATTTATTTTTAACCTTATTAATTATCTAAAATTAAGAATATGCAATTATTATTATTATTATTTGTAATGTAAAAATTTACATTTTGAGTATAATGTTAAACAAAAATGTTGTTAAAATTGAATTAAATGCTTGATATTTA